TCTGTCAGAAAAGTAACAGGCGAACATGTATTATGAAAGGCATTAATATTTGCGCGAAATATAGTTTATACTTCGCGCAAAAATACCATTGCTTTTTTGGATTGGTGACATAAATATTGGGTAAAACTATCAATTTTTAAATATTCATCAGGTGTGTAAGACCTAAAAAGAGTTAGTAACGATTGTGGGCATTCATCGGGATTGACACTTTCCATAGAAACAAACAAACAATTTAAACCCCGTGTCTTTATAGGGTTCCCTCGGGAACATCAAGGCTAATTTTTCACTGTTGGATATCGATAAAATTACAATTAAGTTTTATCAACGAGAACGTAGAAGACATGATGGCGTGGCTATATCACCTAGTAAATATTTTCCATTCTCCGACGCAAAAGAATCGAAATATCCTGCCAATAATAAGTTGATAAGAGCTGCAACACCAGTCGCGGCGGCTGGTTTTTAAATTTTTTACCTTATAATGTACATGCTTCGATGAAATTCTTTGGGCCGCACAATGTGCTAGCCATGAGATCGTTTACATTCTATAATTTTTGGAGCAACTGTTGCAACAGCTCGTTAAATTACGAAATTCTTTCCCGGTTTAGTAACGTTGGACTGCGTCATGTTTCTCTACATCTTCGTAACATGCTTGGTAATATGATCTCTCACACCTTTCAATCATTTCACTGGGAAAAGTTGAAACCAGGTGTGTTGGCGTCAATCGGTCTCATACAAATTTTTGATCTTTATTTGCAGTTAATATGTACATCGGCCATGCTAAGCAAGTTGATAATTTACTTAATGGCAGACGCTCCCTCTATCGTGGTATTTTTTGATTGACGCGATTACCTGACGACGTCATTCTTTCCCCCCAACTTGGCAACAAGAGAGAGAGAGAAGAGAAAAAGATGGCAAATATCTGAACTCGAACTTCTTCTATCTAATAAACCTTTTCTTTTTTGAATGACGTATAGATACGTCAATGGCACGGAACGGTTAGTGCCAAATGACGTATATATACGTCCTTGGCATCGGAAATGTTAATCTTTAAAATCTAGTCTGCTAAAATTTATTCTGTCCATTTTGTGTTAATCAGTATATTGCTTCTACTCTGTACTACTCAGTATATTGCTTATAACCCACAGTGTTATTATTTATTGTTTTGTAACTCCGACTCCGGCTGACTCCGCTGTCGAAATTATTCAAGCTATCCCAAGTTGTGTGAGCCCACAATCACATCGATGACAAAAACGTTAGGTTATCAGTTATCTCAGTTATCAGTTATTAGGTTATCCTCACGAATAGAGCAAAATATTGTCGTAAAGTCGCATGAATGTGTTTTCAACCGCAACCGCCTTTCAAAAAAATAAATATATTATATAGAACCGACCTCCTGAAGTATGCGCACCAAGATGGCGCACAGCCTGAACTCGGGTTGTGTACCAGGCCATGGCTCAGGTTGTGCGACATTTTGGTGAGCATACTTCAGGAGTACCTAGAATTGCTAATTTTTTAGTGGTGGTAGTGGGGGGCATCTATTTAAGAAAACAATATACAATTCTGTGATTGAAGAAAGAGGTATCAAACCTTCAATGGTCCGTCTCATGTGCAACCCGGGATATAAACAGTATAGACGGAAAGTCAATTGCTGAATAATATACGGATAAAAATCTATTATTTCTTAGAATTAGGAGGATAAACTCCAAATTAATGTCAAAGTGGAAAATTTCGTTTAAAACTCTATTTTGGAATTTAAAATAATGTTACCGCTGTACTATTCCCGAACCAAGCTACAGGGTTTGAGGACCGTAGTATAGCATTACACTTTTCTCGTAAAGAGTCATAAAGCGTTTCACGTATTCGCTGAAAACAACACCCACGACAAACAGACGCGAGGTTATTTTTATTTGCATAATTACCTCATCATTGCTCAACAAACGATCGGTATGAAGCACTGAAACGATCTTTGTACACCAGTCATTTTCATCAGATAACACGTTCTTTTTGATGGGTAAATTGAATGCAACAATTTCAAAAATGATCCCATATTAGGATATGATTATTCAGACTAAGTATTGTTGCTGGGACTTCTGCATTCTTGTATCGCTATCGCGTTAAAATCACAGTAAATTTTCTAATTTGTTTTGCACAAAAGTTTAATTTATAACCTCTCATCTTATATAATGTTTATTCTCCGATACTGGGATGTGTATTTAGGTTCATACGTAAATACTACCGCAACGCATAATTACGGACGTTTTGAAACATATTGTGGAGTAAACACGCGTAATATCACTACTTTCTAAATCTAGAGCGATTGTCAGAAGCAATGGGGAGCAGAAGATTTTGCCATAATTTAATTAAAAATATTTACATCACGAAAAAAAATAAAGTGAAGTCTCTTTAAAAATGCCTGATTGTGCCTTCTCGTGTTTAAAAATAATCAGTAATGAAATATTGTAAACTAAGTTTTTTAGAGCCTAACGGCTATTTATAAAATTTATTTCAGAATGATCTAAAATGGAAATATTCTTTATGAGGGTTTTAGACATTTGCTTTGAACAAAGAATTAGACAAGCAGGCATGAGTAGAATATATACAGGAACACAGTCAACCGAGCCCATCATGAACTTTAATAATACTTTCTGAATCTGTAGAGCAAAAATCAGCTTTGAACCAAACATACCATTCTTTCTTTTTAGGATAGATTGTGAAATTTTAGCTTTCGGTTTGACTTATTTCCCCAAAAAACTTTTTTCTTTCAATAGTTTGGTTTCACTTATTTTGATTTAAATTGACCAAACTGTAGAATTAACAAATTTGAGAAAAATCTGAAAATTAAGAAAAGTAAAGAATCCGCACAACACGTGTTCATTACACTTATAGTTTTTCCTGTTCGATTAGATAAATTTGGCAAAGAGATGGGAATGGTTAACCGATCTTGTATATTTAATCTCAACTGCTACATTTTACCCAAGTTAGTAATGAACGGGTCAATAATGACGAAATCAGATAGCTTTACTACAATTTTCATAAATACCGGGCTCGTGGGAAACAGACATAGGCCTATAAAACTATTATAAAAATGAGCAATAGTATAATACACTTGTACCGTTTCGACTGAAGCGCTAGTTAAAATGTAGAAACACATTTATCTCATGTCTTCTCATAGTAAGGCAATAAACAAGAACAAAGGCTTCTAAATTTAAAAATAGCGAGGGCCGTAGTATAGCATTAAGTCATGAAACGTTCCACGCATTCACTTAAAACAACGACAACCAAAACGAGGTTATTTTTTGTTCGAATTATTACCTCACTAGCGTTCAACAAACAATCGGTACGAAGCGCTCAGACGACGTTTTTACACACCAGTAATTTTTTATCAGATACTTTGTTTTTTTTAAAGGTAAATCGAATGCTTCGACAATTTCAAAATTATTTTCAATTAGGACATGATTATACAGACTATATTCATTTTCATGAAATTGAGACTTCGCCATTACATGGTATCGTAGTATCTATACCACACTGTAATCCCAGTAAACTTATCAATTTCTTTTGCCCAAAAGTTTAATCTATAACTAGCTACTTCGCTGATGTTTATTCTCAGATACTAGGCTGTGTATTTAGGTTCATACGCAAATCCCACCGTAACGCATAATCACAGTCGTTATGAAACATATTGTAGAGTAAACACGTGTAATATCACTGCTTTCTTGAGTGAATGTCAGGAGCAATGGGAAGCAGAAGATTTTGCCATAATTTAATCGAAAATATTTGAACCAGAAAAAAAATACAGTGAGGTATCTTTAAAAATGCATGGTTGTGTCCTCTCATGTTATATAACTAATAGTATATACTAAAAATTGTAGCAAAGTTTTCTATAGCCTAACGGGTACTTTTAAAAAATATATTCCAAGACAAGTGAAATTGGAAATATTTTTCATGAGATATGTTAGACTTTTGTTGTGATCAAAGAGTTAGACAAGCAGACATGAGCGGAATATATCGGTTCAGCGATAGAAGCGGCAAGACCAATTTTTTGGCGCGTTTTATTACAGCTCAAAAAAGGTCGAGATAAGAGAGTGAGAACAGGAACTCAACACAATAATCATATCTGCAGAGAGACAGTCAGTTTTGAACCAAACCTCGTTTTCAAAGATGGCTAGTAAAATTTAAACTTTTGTTTGACTTATTCCCCAAAATAATTTCTTCTTTTGTCCAATTTTATTTTCAATAGTTTAGTTTTATTAATTCTGGTTTGAACTGACAACTGACAGAATAAACAAATCTCAGAAAAAATCTGAAAATGGAGGAAAATACAAAACCGGAAGCCGAAGATAGTGAAGATTGGTTTGTATTTTTATTTCTTGCTCGCAATAACTTTGTGTCGTTTTGAACCCGCAACCTCCGATCAGCGATAATATGTCGTAAACATTTGAATATTTATTCATTCTAAATTTTCAGATTCGTTCAAACTCTCCGATTCTATTTTGCTGTTTCGGAATAAAAAATTTCAAACCATGGTGAAGTATATGAAGGAGAAATATCGAGTGCAACTTATGGAACTCGTCCGATTGCAATAAAATTTGTTCAATACAACAAACAAAGAGTGGAAGAGGCAAAAATTCTTCTCCGACTGAACCCTCATACTCATGTAGTCTCTGTGATTCATTCAGACGAATACCAACAAGGTCCAATGAAATATATGTACATTGCAATGGACAAGTGTAACCAAAATAACTTGAGAAATTTTGTGGAAAATCGAAAGAATGACGGAATCCCGTTTGATCCTGAACTTGCACTTGACTTTGCAAAACAGTTATTTGCTGGAATTCATTACATTCATAAAAAACTTGTGGTGCACAAAGACCTGAAACCTGACAATGTATTTTTATCCCTTGATCAGAAAGTTGTAAAAATTGGCGATTTTGGCATAAGTGAAGTCATCGAGTCAACGACTCAAACAGTTCACAATAGAAAAAGTCTCGGTACGATGAAAAAGATCTATGGAATCATTTCATGAAAAACCACAAAAACCTGAATCTGGATGGACTTTTGGTTCCAGATGCAGAAGTTGCAAAAGATTTACTAGAATGGATGCTGCAGTTTGTTCCTCGTAAACGTCCAATGATAAACGAGGTTCTTTCTCATAAGTATATGGCTCCACCGAATGTAAAAGGTAGGAACGAATTTGAGTTATTCCAGCATATTGATAGTTTGCGAACTAAAAATTCAGGGTATTCAACTATTGGCCATCGATTATTTGACGATATTGCTAGGCTGTCAGTAGTAAGGTTTCCTTCATTTTCCTTCATAAGATTCCAGAATCTAACCTGAAGATATTGTGATTGCCGAAGACGCACTAATAAAATTTGACCGTGAATTGAAAGTAAAGACTTATCTAGAAGAAATTTTTCTCTGTTCAGGTTTACTATTCCGAAATATACAGAAAGAATCTCCACCTGGCAGCTCACAGAGTTCTCAAACAAGCAGTCATGATGAACTTTTGCTTCCACATTTTGATAACGGAACATTCAAATCAGATTTGTCAACAAAAAAGAAAACTAAAAGGTTTTTATATTGATATTACAATAATACAATGATATTACAATGAATGTTTGGAAGAAAGTTAACCTGAATATCCAAGTTTCAATTGCTTCGTAGTAAGAAGAATTTTTGTCTATTGGGTCAGACACGTTTTGAAGTTGTTGTCTTACAGCTATTGTACAGGTTCTAGATCAGGGATGGGCAACCTTTTTCGGCTCGTGTGCCAAAATCGGCTAAATTTACCGATAAAATTCTTCCGCGTGCCGACCAAAATTAATAACAATGCTTTGCTACTTTCAAAGCAAAAATACACAATAATAAACCTTTTAAACATGTGCAGACAGATTCATTATTCGGGAAAATATCAGTCCGACAAGGGTTACTTTTCTTATTCTATATCAGTGAGACTTCTGCTGCTGCATTACCGCTGATAGGGACATTGGGACATTTACATTGGGTTTATATTTTGTAACTTTCAACGAAATACACGAATTACTGGTTTCATCGTTCATGCTCCTCCTGTTAAGAGACTTAATAAAGTTCATAACTGAGAACAGAGATTCACAAGCACATGTAGGTAAAAACAGGGAGAGTTTTTAAGCCATTTACGGGAAGGCATACCAATCACACGCAACAGTTCGTTTTCTGCACTCCTCTCTTGTATTCCCTCCCCCAATCGCTTATATCGCCAAGTTTGGCACGCGTGCCAGGGGTTGCCCACCCCTTTTCTAGACTAATTCTCGATGCAGAAAATATTTGTTATGCCAAATATCAATACCAACATTCAAAAGTAATCTTGAAATAGAAATCCATATCACACTTACCTTAGATTGAGCAAACTTGGCTTTCTTTATTCTTGTTTACATGGCTATTATTATCATGTATGGATTAATATGAAATGAATACAAGTTTATTCTTGGTTGTAAAACTCAAATAACTTTTCCTACTGAAACTAATCAATCATAATTTCAGTCATTCTTCACAAGTTGCAACTTCATTATCGAAGCTTGCTAATAATTTTCACTTTGCAAAATATCTTGAAGAAAAAGAAAATACAAGAAAGGCAGCTTTGACCTCAGATGGTGAGATATATTGGTTTCATCATTCCTTGCATTCACTCTTTTCAAAACCTGCCCTATGAGAAACATGTCGTATTTCATGGGTACTTGAATCTGATTCAACTCAAAAACTCTCCCAGGTTGGAATTCATTCGTGCTTGTTAAAACTCCTCTGACTTCAGTGAATGATTCAGTCCTATGATGCTGAATGTTGGTTAAAATTTAAAACCAAGTCTGTGATGAAATTGTTATGCCTATTTTTGGTAGTAAGTGAATTGTAACTAGTATTGTGGGTCTGGCCTTATTTGCAAAATTAGGTTTTCGATTCAAATTCTTCTTTAACGTGCACCTAAACATTCTTAACATGGTTTAATTCTGGTTTCGGATCCAACGCTTCGGTTCCAGACATGTTGTTTTCATATAAGATTAATACTTATTATAACTTCGCATTTTATATACAGTGACCTTGCGACTGGAAGCGTTTTGAATTTTCATACATAATCACGTTCAAATGGGAAATATAACACACAGTGTTATGCTCTATCTCTATTATGTATTGTTTAGTAAATCATTGAACTGCTTCCCATTTCAGATAAAGTTTTCTAATTTATTTCTCTTTATGAATGTGACATTTTCAGATCGCCAGCAACTAACTGATGACATTTGGTTGTTTAAAGACAAAGTGCTTTTTGGCGGATTTCATATCATAGCTTATGAAGGCCAACTGAAACTTCCTAATTCAATAGCAGAGCCTCTAGCAATATGGGTGTTTAGAGATTGGGATGAAGATTTACTACGCAAAATGAAATTTCTTCAGCAACATCCACATCCAAACCTACTCTCTGTTTTTGCTAGTGGTCTGTTAAAAGAAGTGAATCTACCTTTTGTTGCTACTGAAAGATGTCAGTTTCTAACCCTGGAAGAATATTATGGAAGAAGAGAAAAATACAATTTTTCATTTGATCCTAGACTTGCTCTCGTGCAGGCAAAACAGTTAATCAACGGTCTACAACATCTGCATAAACATAATATTTATCATGGGGGAATGGAATGGAATATTCTGTTCTCACTTGATATGCAAAATGTGAAAATTAGTCTTACTAACAGTTATGTAATATATCCACCATCCGGCTTTAAAGATGATATTCATACTTTAAGTTACATCTTGTATAAATTGTGGTCTAATAGGCATGGATTCCATGCATATCCTGTAAATTTTGATCCCAATGATTTACTGATTCCTAATCCTCACTTGGCCCGTAATTTGCTTTTAAGAATGAGGCACAGAGATGAAGACCAACGACCAACAATTCAGCAGGTTGTTGATCATGAATTCTGGAAAAGCATCAATATTTAGTTTTTTCTTTCTATTTGTTTCGTGCATGTTTGTAATTTCTAATGACTGGCACTTAATTTCAATGGTTTTCATATTTATCCAAAATGAAAATAAATCTGATAAATTCTTGTATTTGTTTGCCAAACCATGACCACTCCTCAGTCCCACTCTGCTTATATGTTTTATGTCACTAGCCCAGGTGAGACATAGGTAAACGGTTCTTCATGCAGTTCCGTAAACCCTGAGTCCGAAGTCTTACTGAAGGTTTTCTGTTGACGAGTCAAAGTCATTTCATCAAGTTACTCTGCGTCTTCGATTGACTCGAGTCGAATCAATTACTTTAGTCTTCCCAACGCTGGTTTTACTAAGCTTTGATGAAAAATCCGGGTGAAATTAAATTTTGTTTAGCTGCATGTAAACGAGCTTACTTGATACTTTTTTGTATGTGATAGATATTTATCACATTTTAAAACTTTTCTTGGCTTGGCAAGATTTAGACATTTTTAGTTTTAGTGTGAAAATCATGCAGTGATACAAGGCGTTAAACCATTACACTTCGCTGCTTTGGCGTCGCAGATTGCACATTTTGGTTTCAAGTCCCATGCTCCACTTCACCAGGGTGTACTAAATTGGCTGCTTGTACGGGACCTTGTACGAAGCGAAATACGCGAGTAAGAGTGTATATGTATATATATATATCAATCTTACACTCTGGTTGTTTTTGGGTAAAATATAAATGTAGAAATCCACAAATACAAAGCAATATATTTTTTGTAGAAAATTCACAATTATCAATTACCGGTAATCAAATCGAGCTTGCCGTTTGTTAGATAGACTAATTTTGACAAGTATTACTGGGAGTCTACAGATAAGGTGATAAATATATTGAATGAAAACATGTTAATTAGATTGTTGCTCTTTTGTTGTTAAATAAACTGAAATAAACGAAAAAGCACCTGTTAGATCATTGCTTGAATTAGTAAGGAGCATTTATTTGAACGATAATAAATGCTACGATACCAAATTTATTCTTTGAAAGATCTATTAATTTTTATGATCCACAGAGGCAACATTTCATTTTATGAATTCGTTATGTTCTGTAATAAAATCTTGTAATAAAACAATTTATGAGTTTTTGTCTTATTTGTCGAACAAAGAGTTGCGTAGAACTGTGACAAAGTACTGAAGAATTTAATGTGAAATCTAATTTTGGCATTTTTTATGATTTGCCAGTTTTCCTAGATAATAATTTCTATCCCCAATTTGTGCTGTTTTATATATTTTGAAACAACTTTTATTCGTGTCTTGCACTCGAAACAACCATAATAATCCACTGGTTTCTAATGAGTTTACTATATATGGAAGAAATGATATATTTCTTATTCGGCATCGCCTCTCACTTCAATACATCATAAGTGAGATGGAAGGATCATGGGATTTCAACCGATATTTGTAGCCTGTTGTGCTAACGCGGTTGAGTTTAATCTTTCACCAATAGGACATCGTGCCCACTAATGTAAAACCCGATTTAATCCTATTCGGATTACGCACATTGACAATGTTCAATTCTTTTATCATTTCTTTAAGCAACACTTTTCTTTAATCTATATTTAAATTTATATTTTATCAAGATGGCATTATTCTAGATTTTCCATTTTCGAACATTCGTAATTATATTCATAAATTTATTGAATTTATTTACCAATTTTCATATTAGTTTGTGACAAATTTTGCGAATAAAAACTGGTCTTTATAAATTTGTTCCGACAGGAATCAATTTAAAGTTTCTTTGAATCAGTAATTTTTACGATTATTTGCTTGAGACCATCCCTCGCATTTGTATTCTCTCAATATATATGAGATCCTTTCCTAATATACTCACTGGTACGACACCAAATTTATTCAGTGAAAAACCTATAAATATGACTCACAGAGACTACATTTTCTTTTATGAATTCATGATATATCGAGATAAAATCTTAAAATTTTTTGTATGTGAATGAAAACTAAATTCCACAATTCTACAACTATTTTTTAATCTCACATAAGCTGGCCCAATTATTCTAATTAAAGATGTTTTATACTGACTTTCTGATTCTTGTGGATTTTATTTGTTCGGACCCAATAATTCAAAATTATTATGGTCATTGGATAGGAAGTTCATATTTGTCTGAGGTGATAAGAAAGCCAATAAATCGCCCCAATTGATTGGCGAACGATGGTCACTGATAAGTTCAAAACTGCCGCTACATACAAAACCCTCTCATCATATTACCAGTTCAGGTAGGCAATAGTTATCTTGGTAATCTTGTGTACTTTATGCACGGACTGGAAAATATACATAAATATTCGTGCTTGCTTGTACAGGGGTGATATATGACTTTGTACAAAGCGAAAGGTCCGAATAATCGTCATAATATAAATCAAGCTTATATGCTCTGGTTGTTGCTGGGTAAGATGTAAATGTGGAAATTTACAAACACAAAAAAATATTAAAAAAAAAATGAAAATAAACCATAGTTTTACTATGGTGAATGTCTAAAAATCCACAGAAATAATGTACGTTGTGTAAAAATTTATGAATCTCAGGATTGTTCCAACATCAATTAATTTAAACTTTTCTCGGGTTGAGTCAATTTTTTTTGATTTTTCAATTTTTCTCGATTTCGATTTACTTGCTTTAGTCAATCCCTGGCTGATAGGCTTTTTATTTCCCCTAATTTACATAAAATCATCTCGTATTATTCATTGGGAAATCTATAATCTTTTATTATTCACAAAGACAACTTTTTCTTTTCCATCCATACATTCGTGATATTCAGTAATGAAATCGTATAATAAAACAATTTATGCTATATGCTTTTTGGTCGAACAAAGAGGCGCGTTGAACTGAAAAGTACGAGACGATCTTTGTTTAGTATGAAAAAGTACTCTCAGCTGATGGAACGGTTGTGTTCTGTGACAAAAATCAGCTTGTTACAAGTTTATGTTCTGATGAAGCTCTGATCAGCCCTTTAGTCGGCTTAAATATGAAAGAGTACAGGCCGTACAGACCCCAGCTTGGTATCAAAAAGTTAAAATAATAGAAACAAACAATGGTATTTCACAATTGGGATAGTGAGATTAGATTGTGTTCACCTAGGTTATTTGAATACTAAAAAAATATAGTCTAGACCAGTGGTTCTCAAACTTTTTTAGTCCCAGAGCCGCATTTCAAACCTCAAAGTTATGAAGAGCCGCACACAAACAACGCAAGGTAAAATAGCAACAAACCTTAAGCGCGTATTTAAAATACCAAGTCATCGTAACAACAACACACGTAACAACTGGGGATGGGCAAAATATTGAATAAAAAAATATACGAATGAATTTTACCATTTGAATATCCGGTACCACGTGACCTGTGGCGCTCTGCTTGGACACCTAACTCGCTCGTCTCTAACTCAATCGTGAATTGTGCGAGATTTCCTAACAGCGCTCGCTATCAGAAAAAAACGTCAAATTTGAAAAGTCGTTGTCTTTGTGTTATGGTGTCATATGCCTATGTTTGCACTTAACGTATCGTTTCAATTCCATATTTTGCAAAAAAATGTACCGACGTTCCGTAAATTTAGAAACGTCAAACCAGATTAGGTATTCTAAAATAAATTTCCCAGATTTTAAACTCCGCATGATTGGTGACATGTCATTAGCCATTTCTTGCATTACCGAACATAAAGTTAATTAAAATTAAATGTTAAAATGACTTTCCGGCGTTTCATTGTGAAAAAGGCGAGTTTTAGGTCGTTAGAAAACTCTAGTTATATAAATAGCATGGATTTAAAAATGACCAAAAGTTTATCGGAAAGTAATTAACTTTCAAAGCATTAACAAGAGCCGCAGGAAAGGTTGTTGAGAGCCGCATGCGGCTCTCAAACCCTAGTTTGAGAATCACTGGTCTAGACAGGTCTGAAAAAATAATAAGAAAATCACTCATTTTTGATTACTACATGTCGTAGAAAGTCTTGTGCTGTGTGATTTTCATTCAGTATAAATGTCTTCTAATAAACAGTTTGACTTGATGGAGAAACATAAGAGTCACAAAGAAGATATTTGCACTTATTAATAAAATAAAAAGTCTTGAGTAGTGTGGCAGGTAATATTAAATATACACGCGGACCGGAAAAAGTTGAAATCAGTGGAACAGATATATAAAATGTAATGTCGGGCACTAACTATGTTTCTAGTTAATAGGCACACTTAAAAACATATCACATGAAGAAAAACTATCAAATTGTGTGCCGACCAAAATTTGAAATCTGTGGAATATAAAATAATAACATATATATTTTTTGCGTAATAAAATGAAGTACAGACTAAACGTCATAATATTAAATTGTGCGTACGTCTTGCAAAGCACTAGTAAAACCTTTTCATTCCATTTATTTGAACTCTAGAACTTCTTACCAAGTTAATTATACCATGGGCACAACATATCTGTAATGCGGCTTTAAGAAGTAATCAGCAGCACCGCGTTTTGATATTGTATAAAACGGTATTCGATCTAGAGTTCAAAGTTCTGTGTCTTTCTGAGATCATATCTTTGACCATTATTCATACTGTAGCGTTCATGTTTTCTGCTATTAGTGATGCTAACAAGTCTAACCACTGTCCTATTGTATGAGTTAATTCAAATCAAATATTGATTACGGATTGTAGCTATACTTTTACTTAATAGCGAATTTGTATTATCAGATATGGCGAAGAGAAGATTGAAGGAATGGTTAATTGGTTAACCGATCTTGTATTACTAAGTTCGACTGTTAGAAGTCATTCAAGCAGTATTGGCAAAATAAAAGCCTTCTTATAAACATCCCATCAAAGCTTGGCTCAGAATTATGAGCTAGAAAAACAGATATCGGTTAAGTATAAACATGAGAGATATAATGAGTACCTCATTTTACTAACGTATCATCACGACAATAGCAAAGGGCGAATAGCAAAACCACATTTTCCAGAAAGTTATATCTCTTCTCACAGCAAGGCAATAGACAGGCAAATGGGCTTGTAAATTTAAAAATAGCGAGGGCTGTAATATAGCATAACACTATTCTAAAAAAGCATTTTACGTCGTCGCTGAAAACAATACCCATAACAAAAAGACGCCGTGTTATTTTTTCATACACAATAACGCTCTTCAAACGATCGGTACGACGTATTGGAACATTGTTTGTACAAACCAGTCATTTTCATCAGATAGTACGGTCTTGTTTTAGGGATAAATTTGAAGCCAAACAATTCGAAAATAATGCTCGATTAGAGTATGGACACTGTAAACAAAGTATCGTCGTACATTGCATCAAAAGATTGCTGGAACCTCACCACTACGTGTTATCCTGGCATCGATATCACACTACAATCACATTAAATTTACCAATTTGTTTTTCACGGACGATCGAGTTACCCCCACCTTTTACAGTTAATTCAAGCTTTGAAAGCTGAGCCGTTTATTTAGGTTCGTATGTCCTTTAATAATACATAAACAACCATCCTAAGGAAACACAGTGTGGAGTAAACACGCGTATTACCGTTGCTGACTATTGTGGAAATCAGAAGTAGTGATAAATAGTAAGATCTACTGAAGTGAGACACCTTGAAGGAAATACAGTGAAGTCTTTTCCAAAATTCATTGGTGTCGTCTATCATGTTATATAACAATAAAGTTATAGAATGTTAAAGTTGACTTGATCGAACGTAATTAGTGCTTTTAGAATTGACTTCCGTTTTTGAAAAATCCTAAAAATATGCTTACAACTGTGTTGAGTCGCTTTAATAAGATTAGCTATTTAATTGCGTTATATAGGTTCCAGGTGGAGAATAAAAAAACACTTCGAAACAGAACCATATCTTATATAACAAGCAAATCCAAAAATTTGTCGAGTACCTGCGATAAGTTTGAGTTGTTTTAATAAAACTTAAAACCACTCATCGTCTCAATTGGCATCGTAACTCGCTATTGAGAAGTATTAAAATGAAATTTAGGCGCATTAAGAGAAAAAGTTTATCCACTAGCTAGACCATCGGATCTCAACCAGTGGGCCATGACCGACTTTTGGCCCGCAGAAATATTTTCAGATAGGCCTGAAATCTATTACAAATTGTTAGAGTTATTGATAAATTAGTTAAGCTTTGAATGTAGTAGCTATAAATGATAATGCTATCTTTATGAAGGGAATTTTTGTTATTTATGTAGTTTTGTCATTGAATGATAAATTTATTAGGTCATAGAATTTTTGCGCTACGAAAATGGGCCACGAGAGATGAAAGGTTATGCACCGCTGAGTTAGACTGACGAGGCAAGTGTATCCCTTCAACCTCAAAAACGAGATATAATATTTAAATCAATTGAACAGTTTCTACCGTAATGATGCCTTTATTTTAGGAAATTTGTTTTCTTATTTTCTGAAGCTATGATATTTTTTGCCTGTAGCTAAAATTTTGTAATTCACACATAGAATTTATGTAGTTTTACGTGTTATTTTTCAGTTTTCAGTTGTGTTTCCAAAGAATAGATGTAAAACAAATTATACTTTATGGTCACTGTGTCTTCTGAGAACCTTCAGTTTAGTTACAATATCCAGAAATTGGAATAGCAAATGCTGCGATAGACTAGCCTCAAATTAGCTATTAGTTCCTATGTACGTGGTTTATTGTTCCGAATAATAATGATACTTTCGAACGTGTGAGCCAATTTATTTCCAAAACACTCTCAAAATTACGAATTTGTTATCACGAATTTAGGCGTTGACCATTCCCAGACCCAACTGCTTTTGGGCATGATTTTTCTCGCATTTTTTACAAGAGTCTCAATGATATCTCGAATGAACATTGCTGTTAAAATCGGTCGACTTCGAGGTCGAAGCATAATTTTCTTAAATTTTTTAAAATAATATTCCGGCAGCGGTTGCGGCTGCTACAACGCAAATATTTGGCATAGTTTTTCTACAAAGCAAAGGATATTTCAATAAAAAATACAAAAAAACTTGATATAAAACAGGCTGTTTTTCAAATTAACAAAAACACAAAACCATACATAGGACACGCAGCGAGGGCTCTAGTGTAGCATAAAACTTTTGTCATAAACCGTTCCACGTCTTTGCTGAAAACAATACCCATGACAAAAAGACGCTGTGTTATTTTTATACACAATAGCGCTCTACAAACAATCGATAGGACGTATTGAAACATTATTTATACACACCAGTAATTCTCATCAGATAGTGCGGTCTTGTTCCGGGATAAATTTGAAGCCCAAACAATTTAAAAATTATTCTCGACTAGGGTATGAATGCTGTATATAAGACATCGTTGTCTTGCGCATCAAACTTTTTCCGGAACATAACTATTACTTGGTATCCTGGTATCGATATCACACTACAATCCCAATAAATTTACCAAATTTATTTTGCACGGACGATCGAGTTACTCTTCGATATAGTTTATTCAAGCGCTGGCAGCTACAGAGCCGTGTATTTAGGGACGCACGTAAATCCTTCCATGACTCATAGTGTATTGTCATTAGAAATGATAGTGTCGAATAGCGAGCGTGATACTATGGTGAAAATCCTAAGAAGTGGAAAATAGTAAAGTTTACTAAAGTAAATTACTAGGAAAGAAATACAGTGAAGTATCATCCAATATTTCGTGGCCTAATATGTCATATGACAAAAAAGTAAAAGAATGTCAAAGTTGAGTCTTAACGAACTTGCTCTTTTGGAATTAAATTCCATTCTAGAGAAATCTTAAAAATAATGTAATCGACCAGTGTGAGGTCGCTTTAATAAGATTAACTAGTTATTTGCATTAGATAGGTTCCGCATTGAAAATAAAATATCACTTCGAGACGGAACCGTTACTTTTGGAACGCGCAAATCCAAATCTTTATTGAGTGTTGGGAATGAGTTTAAGTTGATTGAATATAACCCATTTCTACCTTACCCTCCCTATTGGTACCGACACTCGGAATTGTTCTTTTTTTCTATTTCTACGTAATACGTCGCATACTCGCGCCTTTCGCTACGTTGAAAGCCGTGTACAAGCGGACACTGATTTCTTATCGTATCCTAAAGAAGCTCTTTACAGACTCACTTAGCTCACAATGGTATACAAGCTATATTAGGTCACAAATACCTAAATCTCTGTTGGTTCGTTTGAAGTTTGGAACAGCGATTTGATGCAGTTAAGCCAGCGGTTCTCAAACTGTGTGCCGCGGCATATTCATGTTCTATGAAAGATTTTCAATATGCCAAGCCCATTTCGAATTTCAAAAAATGCGATAGTATCAATTTTGATTAAATCTATTTGCAAACATCCATTCTAAAAACCATCAGGAATTTGAATTTTCCTACGAATCCTAACCAATCCATTATTTTACCTCCGAAACGGTTACATCCAGCGCTTAAAAGGTGAAAGTCGATTCGTCGTAAAAGAATGCCGCTTGCCGAAAAAGTTAGGACTCAGTTAGGTTAATTCTTCCAAATGTCATTCAAGGTAGTACCGAATAATTAAAATAATAAATATCAGAGGGGAAAATGTTTTACTTGAAATTCTGTGACGGGCTCACAGCTATGGGCAAAGAATAATAAAATTATCGGGGAATGTTTTATATTTTCTCTCGGAACAAGAAACCCGATTAGCTAGCTATTGAAATTCTGTACGAAAACTGGCACAAGTAATTTGAAGGTTCTTAACTACAATTCTATCGTCATATCGGGCCCATGGAAATGGAATAATAATAACACTTTTTCTTGAGACGTTTCAAAATCTTGCTCGAAACAAGGAACTAGATGTCGAAATTCATCTACAAAACTCAAATAAATAGCATAAACAAATGGTTTAATATTTAACTAAACCTGGATGTTGTCTGCCTGCATTGGGGGTTTCTAAAATAGTGATATTTTATTCCCTATTTATTAGTTAGTAAACATGAATGATGCTAATATGGAAACCCTTGATAAAACAACAAATCATGTGATCGAGGAAAGTGGTGATGAACCACCAGCTAAGATCAGATGTACGGAAAGCAGTATATCTAATACAGGTGAATATTAACTGAAATGAATTTTAAATGAATTTTAGGATCTTACAACCGATAAGCATAAAATATTATGTGAGTTTAAAATTTTGTAAACCTTATTAAATAGTGATTGCTTACTTAGATGTTTGTTTTGTTTTCCAGATTCGATCAAACTCTCCGATTCTATTTTGTTATTTCGGAATAAAAAAATTTCAAACCATGGTGAAGTATATGAAGGAGAAATATCGAGTGCCACTTATGGAACTCGTCCGATTGCAATAAAATTTGTTCAATACAACAAACAAAGTGTGGAAGAGGCAAAAATTCTTTTCCGACTAAACCCTCACACTCATGTGGTCTCTGTGATTCACTCAGACGAATATCAACAAGGTCCAATAAAATATATGTACATTGCAATGGACAAATGTAACCAAGAAAACTTGAGAAGTTTTGTGGAAAATCGAAAGAATGACGGAATTCCATTTGATCCTGAACTTGCACTGGATTTTGCAAAACAGTTATTCACTGGAATACAATACATTCATGATAAACTTGTGGTGCACAAAGACCTTAAGCCGGACAATGTGTTTTTATCCCTCGATCAGAAAGTCATTAAAATTGGTGATTTTGGCATAAGTGAAGTCATCGAGTCAAAGACTCAAACAGTTTACACCAGAAAAGGCCTCGGTACTGACGGTTACAGACCCCCTGAATCATTTGTGACTGGATTTCCAACTTCCCAAAAAACTGACATATATTCACTGGCTGTCATTGTTTACTATGTATGGAGTGATGGCCAACATCCCTTTGGCGATGAAAGAGACTTATGGAATCATTTCATGAAAAACCACAAAAACCTGAACCTGGATGGACTTTTAGTTCCAAATGCAGAAGTTGCAAAAGATTTACTGGAATGGATGCTGCAGCTTGTTCCTCGTAAACGTCCAATGATAAACAAGGTTCTTTCCCATAAGTATATGGCTCCACCGAATGTAAAAGGTAAGAACGATTTTAAAGGGTATAGAATACTTTATAATATTAATTAATAGTTTTGCTAACTGAATATGCTGGATAAAGAATCATTGACCTATAGCTTATAGGCATATATTTCGAGGCTGTCAGTAGTAAAGTTATTCCCATTCATAAGATTTCAACATCAAATATAAAGATATTGTAATTGACAAAGCCCACTAATAAAGTTTGACCGCTTACTGAAAGTAAAGACGTATCTAAAAGAAATGTATCTCTGTTCAGGTTTACTATTCCGAGATATACAGGAAGAATCTGCACATTGCAGCTCACAAAGCTCTCCAACAAGCAGGCATGATGAACTTTTGCTTCCACATTTTGAAAATGGAACTTTCAAATCAGATTTGTCAACAAAAAAGAAAACCAAAAGGTTTGTATATTTATTTTGCAGTAATACATGTTTCCTATTTAGACACAATCCTATTAGAATGCTTGTCCAGAGCATTGTTTGGAGGGAAGATAACCTTAATATCCAACTTTTATTTGCTCCGTAGCAAACAAAACTCTTGTCTATTTCATTATGTGGACTGGCATTGGGTCAGACATGTTTTGTAGTTGTTTTCTCTCAGGTATTGTCATTTGTCATTTAGCAATAAATTTTGAAATCTTACCGAGATTAATTAATTGCTGAGATTAATTCTCATTGTAGAAGTACTTTTATGAATGAAGAAATATCGAATTCAAAACAAAGTTCAAAATAACATATTCTCAAAATAGGTATTCTGATCACACTTACCTTAGATTGAGCAAGCTGCATTAATTGTGTTCTTGTGTAGCATGGATGTTAGCATGCAAGGATTAGTAATGGATGAATAGAATATTATTATTGGCTGTGACACTCAAATAACGTTTCGTACTAAAACTAATCAATCATCCTTTCAGTCATTCTTCACAAGTTGCAACTTCATTATCAAAGCTTGTTAATAATTTCCACTTTGCAAAATATCTTGAAGAAAAAATTAGGAAGACAGCTTTGACCTCGAAATGTAAGATATATTGATTTCATCATTCCTTGTATTCTTTTTCTTTAATAAATTAAAACATAATAACAAACATGTGTCATTTTATCGGTATTTGCATTGATTCAACTCAGGAATTCACTTTTGCTTGTCCAAACATCCCTGAATTCAGTGAATAAATTGATCTTGTGATCATAATTGTTCGTTTATCTTTAAAACTAAGTCTGTGCTCAAATTGATCCTGCCATTGATAGTTAGGGAATTGCTACTTCGGGTCTGCACTTATTTGCATAATAAGGTATTCAGTTAAAATTGCTCAAACACACACACGCCCAATTTTCCTCAACATGGTTAAATTCTGGTTTCAGATCCATCGATTCGGTCCCAGACATGTTGCTTACACTTAATATGAAAACTTTGCATTTTGAATGTGCGACTGGAAGCGTTTTAAATTTTTAAACATAACCATATTTTAATTGGGAAATATAACCAACAGTGTTATTATCTATTGTTTTGCAAATCATTAAATTGTTTTTCATTTCAGATGAAGTTTTTTATTTAATTTTCCATTTTTTTTAAATGAGATATTTTCAGATCGCCAGCAACTAACTGATGACATCTGGTGGTTTACAGACAAATTGATTGATGACAATTTTCATTTCAAAGTTTATGAAGGCCAACTGAAACTACCTAATTCAGTTGCAGAACCTTGTAGGGTATGGGTGTTTTCAAACTGGAATGAAGACTTACTTCACAAAACAAAAATTCTTCAGCAACATCCACATCAAAATGTACTCTCTGTCTTTGCTAGTGGTTTGATAAAAGGAATAAATAAACATTTTGTTGTCACTGAAAGATGCCAGTTTCTAACTCTTGAGACATATTACGAAGAGAGGAAACAAAATAAATTTCCTTTTGATCCTAGACTTGCTCTCGTACAAGCAAAACAGTTAGTTAGTGGTCTACAACATCTGCATAAACATAATATTGCTCATGGAACATGGAAGTGGTGTATTCTGTTTTCACTTGACATGCAAAACGTGAAAATTAGTCTTTATACCGTTAGCATGTTTTCCTCCGTATCTTTTCCAAAACTTAGCACTGAAAGTGATATAAATATGCTGGGTAATATCTTGTATAGATTATGGTCTAACAACCTTAACACATATAGGTCATTTAAAAATGTTACGCAAGATAATGATCGTAGTGATTTACTGATTCCCAATCCTCACTTAGCCTGTGATTTGCTTAAAAAAATGACTCACGATAACAAAAATCGTCGACCAACAATTCAGCAGGTTGTTGATCATGAATTCTGGAAAAGTATCAACGTTTAGTTTTTCATTTGTTCAGTCTCGTACATGTTTGTAGATTCTAGTGACCAGGAAATGATATTTTTCAACTTGTTCAAACAATTTCAAAATATTTGAATATAGTCGTTTGTGAAATTTACTTAATACAATTCTATACTATTACTTGCAGTAGCTAATGGTAAAAATGTAAATTGAAGTAATTTATAAGCAACAACAATTTATCTAAACTATTGGTTCATATAAACGGGCATTCCAAAAACAGGTTGGAGTAAGGAATACAGGTTACGCTGGAGATTCAATTTTTCGTCAGGATAAGTTAGGATGCTACACTTATGATAACTTATTACTCCGACAAAATTGAATTTGTGAAAAAAGTGCAGCCTCTCTCATAAATTTCATTATATCACCTATAAGTACCAGATGATGATAGACAAGTAGATATGGGTTTAATATGTTGAGAATACAGAACTGATGAGTAAAATAAGGAACCACACATTTGTCTAGCGGTAAATTATGACAGATTCCGGTTCTTTCATATAATCTAGCGCGTTGTATATCACTGGCTGCTTTTACAGAGCCTTGATCAAAGTAAACGCGTGTGGAACAAATGTCTTAAAGTAAAAAACGGAGGATGAAGAATAGTCGTTCATTTATTTAATTATGTGTTTTGAGTTCTCACCCCAAGCAAGGTTATAGATAAGTATATGCGGCTATTTTATCTAAATTAAAAAAACAGCGAAGTATGGCCCGCGCTTAAAACTATATACTGATTATTTTCTTTTACACGCTTTTTCCTGAAGTGTTTAATCTTTTCGCTCAGCACTTTAACCTTAGTCAAGAAGTGAGGGTTTAATAATTTGATTATCCCCATATCCGTAATGCAGTACCACACTGATCAGAGATAGGATGATATGCATAATCAAAATGCTGTCATTAAATGTTTGCACTTTTCCTCAGAATAAGAAACAATGCGACATTTTGCAGTAACCCAGTTTAATTTGTCATTTTTGGTTTTAAGCTGAGTTGATACTGGTTTAAATCGTGTATGAGAGACGATTGTTTGCTGCTGTTGGATGGAATTCCTATGTAGTACTGGACATCTGATTTTAATCCATCTTGGAAATCTCACATGTCATATTTTTGTTCACAATACCCAAACACAACTTTACAAACGATCAGTATGAGGCGTTACGGTTTCGCATGAAATACAAAAAGTACACTATGAGAATTCATTGTAAACATATCGTCTCAAAATGTTTCGGCTTCATGACCAGAAACGCGTGACGATAGTCTTTGCTGTTCGTAACTGTGCGAACATGAAACCTATAATACATGGGTGTGCAAACTGCGTCTCGAGAGTCAAATATGGACCGCAAAGAAAAATTATGCGGCCCGCGGAGAAGTGCAAGTTTTGAATGATGTGCCCGCGAAACAAGTTTTTAGTTTAGATAATTTGGTACGTGCGACCAAATCTAATCCATTTTGTCTTGCAATGCCTATACCAGTACCTGAGTGCCACTGTCATATAAGCGAAACTAGGTAGCAAAATCCAGTTGCATATTACACAATGCTATAAGGACGTGGTTATCACCAAATTAGTTTAGAGTCGGTGTGACAATAAAGTTTTCTTTAGAAATTTTATGCGTTTCAACTCACCATTTTATATTTTCATCAACCATACATAACTCAACTACTATTAATTTTGTGGTTTATTTAAACTTATTAGTATGAAGTGATAGAAGTTAAGTTGAAGACACACGAAATAGGTATTGTTAATCTTAGTTGTGCATAAAATACTGATAGTTAGTTTGCATACAAGCAAGACAAAATATGATTGTTTGATTGAAGAACGAGAATAATGGAAACAATTTGAATCTTTTGACTCTTAAAGAACTATGCATTACTATGTAGATGTAGTTTAATTGCAGGAATATTCTACAAAATTGATTATTTTTTAATAAAAATACAGCAAAATGGCTTGGACATTTATCATAATTATTGAATAGTTGAAGATGTGAACAAAGGATCGTTTTATCATGTGCATTTTGAAAACACGGACAAGTAAAATTTCCATTTGGGATTAGCTATATTTCTATTCAATATTATTGACTTTGTTACTGCATATTCTATATTTTGGCAGGTTCATTCATGTTGGAGAATATGATATAACGATATATGAAATAATTCCATTTTTAATTTGCACGAGAAATAAAATAGTTAGCATAATCCATATCAAAGTTATTGGAGTAAATTTATAAAAAAAAGTTCTGTCTGAAATTTTTATCGCTTGTAGATTGGTATTATAGCTTCTTTCAGACCGCCTTTCTTTTGCTTGTTACCCCGGAAAAAAATTAACAATGTCAAGTATGTTATAATATTTAATATATATTTTGTATAAATTGAGTCATAAAAAAGCTAAAAACCCTTTCCGCCTTAACGCTTGCAAAAGAACTATAAAAACAAACAGGAGAGGTGACGATTGTAATAAAGTAGCATCAAAACAAATTGAGTGCCAAAATAAAGACTATATAGAAGGAAAAAATAATATATAACACAGAGTTTTCACACAAACTGCTTTTATTGCTGCGATCAAAATTTGAGTTGTAAGAGAGATTTTCAAAAAATGCTTTTTTAATGAGATACTCACAACTGCTGGTTCAGTGTATTGTGCCTTAGGCTCTGCTGCTGGATCCACCTGGCATTTCTGTTGACTTTTTGTACTTTCAAATGTTGGGTTTTGTTTTCCACTTTTCGATACTCTATGTTTTCTAAAATGAGATTGCGTGGTTAAAAAAATTGTAGATAAAAAAACAATATCAATATGAATAAGGCTTCAGAAGACACTCGTCTACAAACTACTTTTTTACAAACTTTTTCAATCATATATACTGACAAAGGAAAATTCGAAAAGCCAATTTAACGCAAATAACTTTCTTGATTTGTAAATGAACGATTAGATCATTCTATCTATGGTGTGCTAAGATAGTCTGTTTAATATTACCCCATGGTACAACAATAATGCTATTGATATCAATATGATTACTTTCTTTTCGAACAATATACAATAATAATGATGATGATAATGAGTAATAAGATGAAGAAAAGCACAATTGCAGCTATTTCACCTGCTCCACGTGCTGAAAAAAGAAGCGTTAGAACGCTTATTAACATTTATTTTTTTAACCTAGCTTAAGGTTAGTTTCTTTGCATTCTATTTTGTAAATCACATCTTATATCAAGGGTTCTCCAAATTTCATTCTATCGTTTTCCGATTTCCAAATTTCAAAAGTAAAATAGAATTTATCAACGATGATGTAAAATTGTAAACTGCCGTTGGCGTACCGCAAAGAAAATATTAACAAATGGTGATGATCTGGACCAGGGTGGTCCAAACCCAGGCCCGCGGGCCACATGTGGCCCGCCGCTTTATTATCTGTGGCCCGCCGCTTCATTATCTCTGGCCCGCGTCCCATTCGGAGAGTAATCAAAAATTGCATTTCGTGTTGTTTCGTAATAAAATTAATCAGAAAAATCTTTTGACATATTGTTACATCACTAATGTCACTAGATTGACTAGTGTTATGGCTAGCTGAGGCATCTAGCGAAGTTGAATGAGGTGCTTGGCAGTCTAAATTATTATCTGGTTTTCTATTTATTTGGTCGGGAATATATGCTTACAATATAGGCATCATAGAAAACTAAAAATAGAATGCAGATTCTATCATCCTGGGATGGCCATGTCTAATAACTATGTGTTTGCACAATAAAAGTGTTTGTTTTGTATTCCACTGTTTAACCTATTCTTGGCACTATTGTGGCCCGCGAACAATACAAAAATAATTTAGTGGCCCGCGGATCCGACAACCTTGGACCACCCTGATCTGGACAGTCTCTCCATAGTAAGATAAGATATCGTTAGCTAATGCACGGCCGCTAGATGTTTCTACGGATAAATATGTTCACATACTTTCTTGTTGTAAAATTTACCCCAATCCAGCCCTGCGGGATAATTTTATTTTCAGTATAAAATCTCTGGCTCTAATGATATGCGAATGTTTCAAATTCAAAGTTTTCAGATCAAGTTTGTGCTCAGCAATAAATGCTTGAAGACAAAGAAAGTACAGGTTCTCAACCAAGCTTGGCAAGTCCATATAGCCCACGGACAAAATACATATAATTCACACAGTGTATTTTACTTACATGGAGGCTCAGAATCAGTTTTTACAATTACACTCGGTTAGGTACAAACTGAATTGTTTTCTTCATTCGCACCACATACTCGTATAGTGTAAGCTGTGTCTGGTTTCAATGGTCCATTACATTCTGTATTCGTACCCGTTTGGCAAGTATTGTCAGCACCTTTATGCAAGGAAGTATGTATAAAGGTGGGTATGTATCAAAGTATGGGTATAAATCGAAATATTTAGTAAAAGAGTTTAAGTACATTTGTGGTAACCAAAAAACGTTCCTGAAAAAACAAGAATAGGATATGATAAAATTATCTATCAATACTTTATCACGGCAACTGCCTGAGTATTTTGAAATATATTGAGCTTTTGAACAAGTATATTCATTTACACGCTCTCGCCGAAACCTTTTTAAAATAAACATACAAAATCGAGCATTGGCATTGGTTGGTAAGTATATGACGAAATTTTATGGGGTCAAGGGCCAAGGTAACATCCACCACTGAAAATAATATATTTTTTGTGAAATCATCAGTTACAATAATGAACTTACCAATAATTACGCCATTGTTCACAACAGCACGCCTTTTTCGATTACTGTTATTTTCGCATGGAACGGTGAGAGTAACATAAGGGGAAGAAACATCTTCTTGGGAAGAAGTTGCCCAAAATCTTGATAAATCAATGCTGACTGAAATATTAATGGCCAAGATTAGTCTTTCAGCATGTTGTATATAATAATTCATGGAAAAATTTTATTTTGAAACAAAGTGAACAACAAACTATGAATCACTTTGCTAGAGTGGTCTTGCAGCGATGAAAATTGTATATATTTTAACATACATCACTGGTCAAATATCTTTCAAATTTTATGTATA